GTCATTTACGCTGACGTGCCTAAATCAGCCAAAAAGAATCGTTCGGTACTGCTTAAAAACTTCAATCTTCCATGAATCTCGTACATTAAATACTTAAATGTTATTTAATACTGTTTATCATGAACAGAGCATTTACTTAAATACTTGTATCTATAAAAAAAAAACAAAACAAAAAACGTTAAACATAAAATGTCTTTAATGAATAAATTGTCGGAATTTGTCCATTTCTTAATATATGACGTCATTTGTTTACATTTCATACGCCAGAGCAGTTATGAATGTACGAGATTCATGGAAGATTGAAGTTTATAAGCAGTAAATTCGACCTTGTCTACCGAACGATTCTTTGTGGCCGATTGGTAAGGCACGTCAGCGTAAATGACGGTTCCGTATAGGATACAGGTTCGAATCCTGTCAAAGGACGAATATTTTCTATGAAAATTTCTCGGACATTCAGGCCGGTAAATGTTATTTAATACTGTTTATCATAAACAGAGCATTTACTTAAATATTTGTATCTATAAAAAAAAAAAACAAAAAAAAACAACGTTAAATATAAAAATGTCTTATATATATATATAATATTTTAGTTGAATTATTCACCTATATTTCACATGATCCATTACTGTACATTAAAATAAAATTTGCATTTTATATGAATATTATCATATATTATCTCATGAAAAATGAGATATAATAGAGAGGGAGCTTCGTATCATATATTCGGGGTGCGTATCATAGATTCACTGTGGACCCACAAGACATTTTCACCGTCCCTCTCTCTCTCTCTCAATCTCTCTTTCTCTCTCTCTCAATCTCTCTCTCTCTCTCTCTATATATATATATATATATATATATATATGTGTGTGTGTGTGTGTGTGTGTGTGTGTGTGTGTGTGTGTGTGCAACGAATAAAATTAAGTTCAACTTAACTTTCGATGTTTTGAGGATATCAAGCAGCAAAGTTTAGTAGCAAAATTGCTTTTATTTACAGAAATCCTGCAAAAATCTATTAACAAATCCAGTTTTACGATTACACCCGTAAAGGGCATATACCATATCTGCAAAACTCAGAGTCAGGAAGATAATTTCAACATTTAGTCTTATTTGTTGCTGTTAATGCTATATATTGATACTGAACACTAATTGCAATTACTGCTTGCGCTCAAAATCTACTGTAAAAATATAACGTTATTTTTTTTATGTTTTTTGATTTATATTATTTTTTCCGAAAAAGTCTGTTTCCTATTTTATCATATATATATATATATATATATATATATATATATATATATAGGTAGTAATCCGTTGGTATAATCCAGGCGAGTCCTATTAACACAACATGGAATTTGAAATATGTTAAAACTGACTCTATATATTCCCTTGGGAAAGGTGTGAATCCTCTTCTTCTCCCACTAGCTATGAGAAAATAACAGGACAGACTGGGTTCTATAGCCTTGGATGGAGAAGGACAACTCTGCGAAAGGTTCGTTTGGGGACCCTGTGCCAAGTAGCGCACCAAGTCTCTGTATTCGGCCCTTCAAAAAGTGTGGATGGTTCTGCACAAAACCTTCACCACTATAATCAAATCTCATGTGCTGGCGTCGGGCTGTCAGTTTCCTAAGAATTGATCTGCTTGACCCTCATACGTCGAATTCGACGGGAGATTCGAGAGAGTATATATATATATATATATATATATATGAAAATTCGGGCTTTGTTATATGAATTCCGGCCTATATTTCTCAGACGAGATATTTTAATCATATTTCTTGATTCTGACTCAGTGTGTATGCTTTCCCTTTTGATAAAAAAAAGAAATGAAAAATCATTCCTGACCGTGTGCAAATATAATCCAATCCTTGATTATTGTATGCTTGCAAGGAACGGTCAGTCAGTGGCGACAAATAGTGCGCTTTGATAGATATCTTATTTCCGATCACCGGATTCAATAATTTTATATTAGTTCAAACGTATTTCTTTGTAAAAATATATCCAGTCACATTTTCAACTCAAGTTTTGGCATATGAACAGGCGAAGATAGATAGATAGATAAATAGATAGATGGCGGGTAAAGTGCGAAAAAATTTTTCGTGTGACGCGTTTCGTACTTGAGTACTTCATCGGTTCCCTACCCACAAAAAATTTGAATTTAAAATTTCCCAGCATCCCTCATTCATGCGCATGCGTAATCACACCAACGTAGCAAATTGCGTCCGATGAAGTTCTCAGGGACGAAACGCGTCACACAAAAACCTTTTTTTTCCACTTTGTCATATATTTCCCCCTAATATTGATCTTGATATATAAATATTTATATATCAAGATCAATATTCAAGTAGAATATATTTTTAGACTAGAAAAACGATGAAAAAAAAAGAAATGAGTACTGAACTGTTATGTAATATCGATCATCCTCTATGACAGTAAATACTAGAAAGACTCGTTACAGATGAAGAAGCGACTTGAGACAAGAGAAATATGTTCTACAGAAGGATCGTGAGAATATTATGAACGCAATGTGAGCAATGACGAAGTTTTAGAGAAAATGTAAACAAAAAGCACGCATTCTTTATATATAACTTATAGGGCGCATAATGAGGACAGGGGGCTTAGAAAATTTGATACGCATAAGATATAATGAAGGTAAAAGGGACAGAGATAAAAAAAAAAAGCAATCTTTACTAAGAACTACAAAGAAGAGGACATTGCAGAAAGTCGCGATTGCCCACGTCCTGAAGGGATACGATGCATAGAAGAAGAAGAAGGATATCTACTATGTGTTTCTGAGAATTTTACAATCAAGTCTCCTGATGAGTGAATGCATCTCTAGAAAACTAGGAGTAAAGACAGTTAAGCTGAGCATTTATACATATATATATATATATATATATATATATATATATACAGTAGCGTCCAAAACTAAGGGACAAAATTTTAAAACATAATATTTGTTAGAAATAACAACTGTGAAAAGCTGAAATTTTGACAACTGGTAGTCGTTATCATCCATAATAACATACTAAAATTTGAATCATTTCCAAAGGATAGAAAAAGAATTATAACAATTATTTATTTATTTTCAAAATAGGAACGTCCAAAAGTAAGGGACAAAATTGAGAAAAAACAATGTAAACGGCAAAAAAACAATAAAAATACATGTACAATCAATATTTAGTAAATGAGACCTTGCTCAATGAGAGCTGCAAATCTTCGACTACAAGAACGAATCAGTTCTTGACAATCTTCGATACTAATTTTAGACCATTCTTCTTGAAGCTTCACCCACAAATCCTCCGTGTTAGTGGGATTTCTTTCCATAACTTTCCTCCTAAGGTCTTCCAAAGATTTTCTATTGGATTTAAGTCAAGACTTTGCGGTGGCCAATCCATAATTTCCAAATCTTGCTCGCTAAGGTAACTCATTACCACTTTTGCCTTGTGACATGGGGCATTATCTTGCATAAAGGTAGCCCTATCGAAACCTGAATTCTGTATGATTGGCACAACATGATCTTGAACAATGTTTTTATAGATCTGCGCGTTTACACGAGTTTGTAACCGGACAAGAGGCGTTGTACCTTGGCTAGAAAAACATTCCAAATACCATGACGCTTCCACCCCCAAACTTGACAGTTTTCTTAGTACACTTTGCACTTAATCTTTCACCAATACGTCTCTTTTTACATTGTTTTTTCCATCATTTCCAAATAAATTAAACTTGCTTTCATCACTGAAAAATACTTTTGCCCAATTTTCATATGTCCAAATTACATACCTGCTTGCAAACTCTAATCTCTTCTTCTTATTCTTCGAACTAACAAGTGGTTTCTTCCTGGGGTTCGATTAAACAGCCCTATTTCTTGCAGTCGTCTACAAACAGTCTGTCTTGACACATTAACACATGAGGTACTATTCATAACCCTTTTAATTTCTGTAAGACTTAAAACGGTCCTTTAATGACATACGCTGCATTATTCGATCTTCTCTTGCCGAAATTTTTGCAGGGGTCTGCCGGTTTTAAAAAGCACTAACTATTTTGCCAGTATCATTGTAGGATTTAACAACCCTGCCTACAACACTCTTGGAACGTTTCACTTTCTCTGAAATCTCTCTAATGGTGTGCTTTTCCTTGTGTAGCTTCACAAGAGCTTGTCTCACAGAGTAATCAAGTTTTTGGCGTTTCGCCATGGTGCCGGCTGATGCAACGTTTACAAATGACCAAGTAAGACTTATTCTTTAGAGGAAATCAAAAAATTTGAATATAGCATACTGTTTACATTGTTTTTCTGAATTTTGTCCCTTACTTTTGGACGATCCTATTTTGAAAATAAATAAATAATTGTTATAATTCTTTTCTATCCTTTGCAAATGATTCAATTTTTAGTATGTTATTATGGATGATAACGACTACCAGTTGTCAAAATTTCAGCTTTTCACAGTTGTTATTTCTAACAAATATTAGGTTTTAAAATTTTGTCCCTTAGTTTTGGACGCTACTGTATATATATATATATATATATATATATATATATATATATATATATATATTAGAGAGAGAGAGAGAGAGTTCTGACTCACACGCATAGCAATAATTTAGCTTGGTTTCTTCCCTGGGGTTCGATTAAATATGACACGATAATAAGTAAAAAATTAAAGTAAGAAAAAAAATTAAATGTATAGCGCCATTCATCCAAGAGTCTGATGGTCTTTAAAAAAAAAACAGCATTCTAAAATCTGATGTCATTGGAAAATATGCAACTACTTTGACCACGAGACATACGACATTAATCTTATTTATTAAATTTAGTCAATAGAAATAATGAAGTAAAAACAAAGAGAAATTGAGGGAAAAAAGAAAGAAAGAAAAACGAAAGAAAAAGAAAAAAACAAAAAGAAACAACGAATAAAGAAAAACAAAACACAGAAGAACAAAACAAAGTAAGAAAAGAAAGAAAGAAAGAAAGGGAGTATGAGAGTAAGGAAAAGAAAGATAGAAAACTATGAGAGTAGAAAGAAAGAAAGAAAGAAAGAAAGAAAGAAAGAAAGAAAGAAAGACGAAAGAACGACAAAGAAAAAGAAAAAATGAAAAAGAAAGAAAGAAAGACAAATGAAAGAAAAACAAAACAAAAAAGAAAAAAGAAATGAAGAAAAACGAAAGAAAGACAAAGAAAATGAATAAACTAAAAAGGAAAGAACGAAAAAAGAAAGACAAATGAAAGAGATGAGGAAAAACGAAAGAAAATAGAAAGTATGTAAAATGAAATAAAGACAAAGAAAAAGAAAGAAAAAAGAAAGAATGAAGAAAGAAAGACAAAAAGAAGAAAGAAAAAAGAAAGAATGAAGAAAGAAAGATAAAAAAGAAGAAAGAAAAAGAAAAGAAAGAAAGAATGAAGAAAGAAAGACAGAAAAGAAGAAAGAAAAAGAAAGAAAAAAGAAAGAATGAAGAAAGAAAGATAAAAAAGAAGAAAGAAAAAGAAAGAAAAAAGAAAGAATGAAGAAACACAAAAAGAAGAAAGAAAAAGAAAGAAAAAAAAGAATGAAGAAAGAAAGACAAAAAAGAAGAAAGAAAAAGTAAAAAAGATGCAACGAAAAAAATAAAGAAAAACTAGAGAAAGAAAAGAAGTAAAACAGAAAGAAAACAAAAAAGAACTAAAAAAGAAAGAACAAAAAATAAAAGAAAGAAAGCTATCCCTTTGTTTCCCACATTCGCCCTCTCTCTCCGTCTCTCTCTCTCTCCCTCTCTCTCTCCCTCTCCCTCTCTCCCTCTCCCTCTCTCTTCTTCTTCTTCTTCTTCTTTTTTCTTCTTTCTCCTCCGTTTGTATATGATATTTTAAAATTTGGATTAAAACAACAAAGAAAAAAAAGTGTCTTCTTTCTTCTGGTGAGTTGGTTTGACAGTGACAAAGCATTTGTCGGGCAAAGAGTGAGACAAGGCACGAAATCTCTTGACAGACCCAGGAATCGGCACTAGCCGGCCACCTCAACATTTCTAATCATAAAAACAAGTCACGAAGGCAGTGATGTCGCACCAACACCGACGTCGAGAAGAGTAGTTTCAACGGGTAGAGAAATCTGGGGTTGTCGGATATTTTTCTTTTCTCGCAAAGTCGAAACTTTGCTACACGCAAATGCCAACTTTACTATGGTTAGAAAAGAACTTACTTTTGAATTTCTCTGTGTGTCTCGAAAGCCGCTTAATGACAGAGATCGTTGAATTTTACCCACCTCACCCGAGTCTTGATCTAAAACCTAAAACGGGTTTTCTAGCACAGCTAAAACCTCGGATTCTGAGTACAGTTTTTCAAAGCAACCACATCAATTGGTGCTATACAATATCAGATGCTCCTCTGTACACGTGTGTGTACTTGTAAAATCAGTAGTTTAGTATAAAAGCATTCATGATACCATACGATTTTAACAAGTCTCGTATTAAGTTAAAATTAATTAATGCTGATATACACAGGGTGTGGCAAAAGTAACGGCCATTTTTATTTATTAATAATTCACTAAAAATGAGCAGTAAGATCAAGTGAGATCACCGAAGTTAAGCAACTTCGGGCCTGGTCAATATCTAGATGGGTAGCTGCTTGGGAATACCAGGTTTTGTAAGCTTGAATGTGAGGAAGGTGTAATAAATAATGGCTCGGAATTGTTAAGCGCTATATTCAATTACGCGCAAATGCCATTAGGAAAGTTATAAATCCACCTCTTCTCCCACCAGCTATGGGTTAATTATTAAGACTTACGGTGATAGCGGCTCGGATTGAGGAATCGGAGAGCCGAGTTCGAATTCCAGTCGAATCCATTACGTTCACTTACGTTGGAAAAGGTATGCATCCTCTTCGTCTCCCTCCCCAGCTATGGGTAAATAGCATGAGAGATCGGGTTCTATAGTCTTGGATGGCAACTGGTCTACCGCAGGAAGAAGTGGCAACTTACAGCGTGGAAATATCTGCCTCGTCAGTCATGTATCGAAAGATACGTGATCGCCTAAGCGTGTATCACGCATGGCACATAACTGAACTGATCACTAAACCATTATTATCTCACTCAAAAATGCTTTAAAAATATATTCTGGCTTTAAATAACCTGTAATGGGTTAATAAACCGTAAAAAACGAATCAATCAATCAAATACTGATTACCTATACAGGAATGGCTTTTAGATTTATTTATATTTATCTCTGAAATAAAAATGTATAGAAACTACCGTGGCCACAAAGTGAGTTATATTTTTACATATTGATTGTAATATAGAATTTATCCCCCACTTTATATTCACATTATAATTCCTTGTTTGTTTGTCAAATTCTGATTAGGTATGAATACATCTCTTCCGTCCCAAGCCATGGATTAATTAGTAAGACTTGTATCACTAAATCATTATTACCTGCAAAAAAATATTCTTGCAATCTAAAAAGATTTCCTGGCTTTAAATAACCTGTAATAGGATGATAAGCCGTAAAAAATGAAACAATGTTTTTCTATCTTTGTATCCATACGCTATATTATTTATTATAATTAGACATTATTTCCCATTAAAATTATTCACTAATGCTCATAGAGTAAAGTTATGAGTACTTGTTATGTACTTCGTTTGCCAAAAGACCACGATTACGAAAATTATACATTAAGAATCAACTAGATTAGTTCTTAACAATTTACCCGATATTGAATCTGGGAATTGGGATAAAAAGCAAGAGAAATAAGATGAAAGAAATACTAGTTAAAAATAAATCAAAAACACAATGTAGGTTTAGTTAGTAATGATTGTAGAATGATGATCTGGGAGTTGGGATAAAAAGCAAGAGAAATAAGATGAAAGAAATACTAGTCCGATCTCACTAGGGAATGCTGGGATCAAAACGCATCCATCGGGCAGTTTAAATAAATGAATTGTTAAGTTTACCACGTGTCGTCTTTGTGTTGCTTCGACATTTCAGCTGCCAGTCTAATAATATATCTTTCTACCCTAAACACAATGGAACATAATGTCAATGGTGGGATTACCCACAAAAGAATTCTTTTAAAAAATAAAGGGATTACTAAATCAAGCACCAATTCTATTTTACTATGATCCAAACAGACATACAGCCGTTAGCGTTGGTCTGGGAGCATCTCTATTTCAAGAAATAGAAAAAAAATAAAAACTATTAAAAATATTAGAATTTTCCTCACGCACAATGAATACTGTCGAGAACAAATGAAAGCGAATTAAGAAAGAGTGTTTGAGTTGTATAGGCATGTGAAAAGTTTGACAGATATGTCACATGACTCGAATCCTTTAAACTGTTAACGGCCCATAAACCACTTAAACACACATGATTTGTATAATACCGAATTACATTGTCAATGACTTCTGATAAAACTGAAAATATATAATCCACTAGCAGAACACGTTCCAGGGAAGGCGCTGGTTGTACCTGATGCACTAACAAGAAGTCCTTTATCCGACACTCATAGTAATACCACCAAAGATATAGGTGTATGTACAAACTGTATGATAAGAACCAGACCAGCATCGGATAAGAAATTAAATGAAATAAAAATAGCCGCTCAAGAGGACACTGTATTACAGAAAATAATACAATTCACTCTAAATGGATGGACACACAAAGAAGAAAGAATAAAAGATGGCGTAAGGCCATATTTTCTAAATCGGAATCAATTGACAACTTACCATGGTTTCAGGATAGAATTGTCATACCTGAAAAACTTTGACCAGAAATATTGAAGAGATTTCATAAGGGTAACTTGGGACTAAAGAAATGCCGAGAAAGAGTTAAAGAATCGTTGCAGTGGCTTAAAATGTCCCAAGAAATGGAGGATTATCTAAAAAAAAAAAAATGCTCGTTTTGTAACATACACCTTCCAACAAATAAAAAAGAAAAATTAAAAGTAATACCACTTCTTCAAGGTCCATGGCAAAGTATTTGTACAGATATTTTCACTCACCAAGAATACCAATATACTGCTGCAATATATTATTTCTAACGATATATAGAAATAGCAAAGCTTAATCCAATGACAAGCGAATGCGTTATAGGGAAGTTGAAATATTTCTTCTCGGGTTGGGGAATTCCTATTGAACTTGTCAGTAATAATGGGAATCAATTCTCAAGTTACGCTTTCAAAGATTTTACAGTCAGTTATGGATTTAAACACATAATATCAAGTCTACATTATCCTCAAGGAAATAGAAAAGCGGAAAGTGCTGTTAAAATAGCTAAGTGAAATTTTGAATCAAGCATTAATGGCATAGTGGAGTAGGCCAATTCAAACCATAGGTGTCAATCCCATTGAATTAATTATGGGAAGGAAAATAAGAACCACATTAGTTTTACATACAAAGAATTTTCTGTCTATATTTCTGAAATTAGGTATTATATACACTATTTACATTATTCGGAGTATTGTCCTCATCTTTGTCGCCATATTTATTACAACGTTTCAGCCTTTGTACGCTCCTGCCTTCATCAGGTGATTGTAAAGTCGATCCGAACCCTTTATTTCGCTCACTGGGTAGACTGTTCTAGTTCCACGTGCCATGTTTGATGGATGTCAGATATCAGCTATCTCCTGCTAATTTCCCCCTGAAAGTTCTCCACTGCCTTAACCAGGTATTGAACTCACACTCTTTGGGTCCTGTCATTGGATCTAACCAACGACTTTATCCACTGTGTCATGTGTCCTCGAGGACACATGGCACAGTGGATAAAGGCGTTAAAAGAAGAAGGCCTGGCGAAGGCCGGAACGTACTACGGCCGAAACATTGAAATAAATATGGCGACAAAGATGAGGACAATAGTCCGGATAATGTAAATAGTGTACATAATATCTCATCTCAGAAATATAGACAGATACTCAAGGGCCGAAACGTTGTGATAAATATGGCGACAACGATGAGGTGAATACTCCGAATAATGTAAATAGTGTACATAATACCTCATCTCAGAAATATAGACAGATACTAAAGGGCCGAAACGTTGTGAAAATATGACGACAACGATGAGGACAATACTCCGAATAATGTAAATAGTGTACAAAAAAGTTATCAAAATGGCCCAATTTCACACAAATCAGAGAGAAAGAGAAACTGGTTAAAATAAGAATGGAAAAGAATTTGAACAGATTCCATGGTGCCAGAAATTTACCAACCCTAAATAGAGGTGATAGAGTTAGAATAGAATTATGATAATGAGAAATAATAGAACACTGAAGGAATGATCAAGTCAGCAGACACTGACAACAGGTTTTATATTGTGACAACTAATCAACATATTTCATCTTCTGGTTTTGAATATAGACTTTTGAGAAATAAACCAATTAGTGATGATTACAAGGAGCTTCAAACAGAAAATAATAATACAAGAGAAAGTACTGGAAGAACAAGTCGAGGACGAAAAATACAAACTCCAAAATATCTGTTTGATTTCACAAAGTGAGTGAGTTAAAGCGTTTGAACCGTAAGCAAAACAAATTTAAGTTGTAATTATTTATTTTGTAATGTGGAAAAGTTATAAATAAATGAATAAAGAAAATAAACTACATTAGGAGGTGGGATTTTATAACAACATCATTGATGATGATGATGATTGTAAGGACT